CGCCGCAAGGGCGGCGATCAGCCCCGCCTGTGCTTGGGGCGGGGGCTGCGGCATTGCGGGCTGCTGCACTCCGGGCGGCGCCGCGGGCACCGCGAGCACGGCCGCCGCCAGCTCTGCGGCCGCCGCAGGCCCTACCGCGGGCGCGGCCGCCTCAGGTCCCGCAGGTGCCGCAGGGGCGGCGATCGGCCCCAGCTGCGCTTGGGGTGGGGGCTGCAGCAGCACGGGCTGCTGCATTCCGGGCGGCACCGCCGGCGCCACAGGCGCGGCCGCCGCGGGCCCCGCTGCCGCCCCGGGCCCAGCGCCCGCCCCATCCTCCATCTCTTCATCCTCCGAGAACGATCCGAAGCCCACCTCTTCCTCCGGCACCTGTGGCTGCTGCGGCGACGGGGCCTGAGCCTCGAGCATGTCGCGCTTGAACGCCCCCCTGACGGCATTGTAGCCAGCGCGGCTGAGGCGTGCCGGTGGCGCGCCTGCGGCCCCTGGGGGGGCGGCAGGCGCGCGCTGCAGAGTCTGCCAGTCTTCCACCTGGCCCCACACGGCGGCCGCCGGTCCTCCCGCAGCCGCGGCATTGGCCCCTGCTTGCCCGCGCGCCCGCGCGGCCTTCGCTGCTGCTGCAGCGGCCTCAGCCGCTTCCACCACGTCGTAGGGCAGGTGCAGAGTGCCGCTGATGGCTGCGGTGACTGCTATTTGCCGCTCCCTGCCCTCCCTGCCCTCAAGCTTGCCGCCCAGCATGGGCGTGGCCCCGCTGGCCGAGCACGCCGCCCCTCTGATGACGATTGGCGCCCCCATGGCAACGCCGGCGAGTGCGGTGCGGGCCCACGCGTGGCCCACCCTCAAAGCGGCCGCCGCCCTGGCGTCTGCGGGAAGGATCATGATGCTGAGGAAGCCGGAGGAGCCCGCGAGCTGGCGCAGGAGCGGGCCGCTGAGTTTCCCGAGGGGCACGCCCGTGGCCGTGAAGCAGAAGCTCGCCGCGTCGGCCGCCGTGATGTCCTTGGCAGCCCGCGCCACGCCGTCGCCGTTTCTCACGCGGAGGAGGCAGCGCGCGTCGGCTGGCACCTGCTTGACCGCCGCCGGCAGGGGTAGGATTAGGA